AATAGAATAGAATAGAATAGAATAGAATAGAATAGAATAGAATAGAAAATAGAATAGAAAATAGAATAGAAAATAGAATAGAAAATAGAACAGAATAGAAAACAGAACAGAACAGAACAGAATAGAATAGAAAATAGAATAGAAAATAGAATAGAAAATAGAACAGAAAATAGAACAGAATAGAAAACAGAACAGAACAGAACAGAACAGAATAGAATAGAACAGAATAGAACAGAATAGAATAGAAGCTGGAAGGGACCTTGGAGTCTTCTAGTCCGGCAGGAGAACCTGCACCATTTCAGATAAGTCACTGTCTTCTGGTGTCTTCTTGAAAACCTCCAGTGATGGAATGCCCACAATTTCTGAAGGCATTTGCCTTGCTTGTTTGTTGTTATGAAGAAACACTGGGCCATCTCATGTAGCATTACAAAAAGCCCCAATTCCAAATATTTGGGTCCATAGATTTGCATGATCAGAAAATGATTTGTGGTGGGTGAAAGTGTTAAGTGGATCCCATGAAAATTCTCCCTTATTTTACTTTCTTTTGCTTTCTAATTTTGTACTGTTTGTTATCTATTTACACTGCAGTGATGAAGAAAGCTGTTTCCAGCCCAGAAGTTGAATCCTGTCTTAATGGAATAATCCTGGATTATAACCCAAATATATTACTGACGGCAGTCTTCTGGCTCCTTTATTACATTTTTTTTTCCAACACATTCTGTATCAGCTTTTACTTTTTGCTTGGAAATTTCCCAGACTAACTTGCAGCACAGCTCTCATGGTTAAGGCATTCTACTTAATGTTTAACTTTTACATACCTTCCCTATTTACATCCTCACACAATGCTTCTTGACTTCTTTTTGGCACATACATCCAACTATTGTTCTCACTCTGCTTTCTGTGAAAATATTTATAGATGCTCAACGTACTACATTCCATTCTCCTTAATCTATTTGATTCCTGACTGAAGTACACCTAGATTCCTTTACTTGCAACGCAGGCTTAAGGAACCATTCTCTTGTTGAAGGAAGCTCAAAATACACCTCAAGCTTTCTGCGATTTTAGGAAGAAGCTTCCCCAGTTCATTAAAAACTTACCTCTGCTTCTCTCTCACATATTTCCATCCCTTTCCTTCACCTGTACGATGCTCAGTCTGGCTTTCTGGGCATCCCAACAGTGTCTCATACAAGATAGGGAACAAAAATGTCAGGCTGCTAAAACTTGTGGTTGCAAATAAATATATATATATTCTTTCTTTTTTTCTTTCTTTCTTTTTTCTTTCTTCTTTCTATCTATCATCGATCTATCTATATTATCTATCTATCAACTATCTATCATCTAATTTAAAAAGTCCACATCTCCCTCACAAAGGATGGTGTACAAGTAAAATATTAAAACATAAAAACTGTATATGAAATCTAGATAAGAGGCAAAGATAATTAAAATTAAACATTAAAAGTTAATTAAAAGGCAGGGGAGGGCCTTTGGGGAACTAAGCAGCCCATGGCTGCCTGCTTTTCTGGAAGCCTCCAAGTGAGTTGGCAGAGCCAGATAGATAGATATAATTTAGACATTTCTGAAAGGCCAAGAGAATGGAGCCCAACTTGCCTTTGGGCGGGAGGATGTTTCAAAGGACAGGGCCAACGGCAGAGACGTCTCTCTTCCCAGACCCCACCAGTCAGAATTCTTCAACTGAAAGGATCTGCAACATATCTTCACTGCCTGATGGATGGAATGGCTTGATGTGATAGGGCGAAGACAGTTCCTTATGTAACCTAGTCCCATGCCATGAAGGATTTTAAAGCAAACCATCACCTTATGCAACTTGCACAGCAAAGGTGCCACACGGGTCGTTCTTTGGATGTTCAAGATTGCTCACACAGCCACATTCTCTACTGGCGGAACCTCCCAGACACTTTTCAAGGGTAGCCTCATGTAGAGCATAAATACTATGCTAAGAAGCAGCTGCCCTATCTCACTAACTGTTTCTCACACACACAAAAGTGGGTTTCTCAGTAATTGCTTGGACAGGCGAAAAATGCTGCAGTAAATTTCCTTTTGGAGCAATGCTGGTAGCCTTAGTAATAACCACATGTGTCTAACATTATATGGGCAACTTAGAAAGCGCAAATGACAGAACACAATTTTGAAACTGAGTAGGAGACAAGAGTTTTGAGATCTTCATTTCTCATCAAAATAGGCTATGAATGGAACAGATGCACATTATTCTGTTTGCTCTTCTGCCACTCAGTGAAGTAACCTATAATTGCCCCAAGACAATCAGATAGTAAATATTTAAGTATTAAATTACCCGCACAATTGGACTACCTGTCTAGAAGAATTCCAGCAGGAAGGGGTGTTTTAGCTTTCCAAAAGGCTTTTTGCTTGAAGCCTACTAAACACAGAGCCATCTTAGCCATTGGTAGCCAAGCTGCACATACCAAGGAATGATATTCTGATTCCCCTAGATATCTGGGAGCTAAAGTGTTAAGTTTTTACAGACATGCAGGGAGGCCAATACCCCATCTCATAAACACATTTCTTGGGGTGAGAAATCCTGGCACCAAGCACTTGCTCCAGCCAGGGTAAAGCTGAAGCAACTGTTTCCCTTTAATTAGCTAGTATTTGCTCTAAAGCTATTGCATTGCTATTGTTGTTATAAAGTTTTGAAGACAATAGTTCCTTCTTTCTTGCTCAAGCATGATGAAGTAAAATACCAATTTCCCTGTCAGGTACACCCCTTCTTTCCTTCACTGTACAGAAAAGCAGTCCAGCTGAAGAGGGCAAGAAGCAAAGAGCAACGTAGCTCTAAAAACCTGGACAAAAGTTGCAATTATTTTTATTCTGATCATCCATTTGGTATTAAGAGTCATCTATTCAGTTCAAAATGTCAGGATCAATATTTCTGGGTCAAGCCAAAAAGTGAAAGATAATGTGGGAAAACTGGAGGATGAAACTGGGACAAGTCATACCCCAAATCATTGGCCTTTTCTACAGACAAGAACTTGTGTGTCACTCAACACCATGGAACTTCCACACATCATGCAAATCAGGATCAATGAACCACAGTCAATGAACCGTGCAAGAACTAGTTCGTTTTCTAACCATTTTTCAGTACTTCTGAAACTACAAGGGAATGCAATAAGAAACAAAAACACATAACAAAACTCATTAAAACATTAAAAAGAATAAAAATTATAACAACACGATCTATGTGAGAACAGCATTCATTTTCCTAAAAGTTCAACCACTTAGTACGCTCTCCACCAAAGTCAATGGATCCTCAAGCCAGAGGACCAGATGTCTTCGGACTCTTACAGAAGCCCAACAAGGTCAGAGCTAATGTCACCTCAACAGGTGGTATTCAGCAGGTTCTGACCAGTTCTGGAGAAGCGGTAGCAGAAATTTTGAATAGTTCGGAGAACTACCAAATACCACCTCTGACTGGCCCCTCCCCCATCTATTCACTGCCTCCCGAGTCCCAGCTGATTGGCTGGGTATTCTTTTGTTGCCCTGCATAGGAGAAAGGATCTGGAAAGCAGGTTAATGGGGTGGGGAGGGAATGGGATTTTGCAGTAACCTTCCCCCAGGAGTAGGAAGGGAATGGGAATTTTGCAGTATCCTTCCCCTAACACGCCCACCAAGCCACGCCATGCCCACCAAGCCACGCCCACAGAACCGGTAGTAAAAAAAATTGAATCCTACCACTGCACCTCAGGAGGGAATGACATCCTAAAGGGAAGGAGCTGTAGCAGAAAAGGTTCTCCTCCTAGGTTCCACCAGATGACAATTCTTCATAAAAACAAGACCCCCAACATTTCCCTCTCAGACCCGATGGAACAGATCGGTGTGACTGGGGAGAAGCAATGCCTCATACAACCTGGCTCCATGCCTTATAGGGCTTTAATGCTCATACCATCCCCTCGAATTGAACCTGATGTAGCTCACGGAGCAGAAACATAATATGCACTAATCTAGGTGTGCACATAACTAACTTCCCACATTACCACATTCTCAACCAGCTAATGCTTCAAGAGCCCTCTTTCTTATACAGACGGGTGTTTTTTTTCCCCCAATATGATGGCATACTATATATCATTGGCAGTTGAGTTCCTTCCTTGAAGCTATATCTTGGTTATAGCTTGAGGGTCCAGATGGAATAATGGCTCACAAAAGCTCAGAGGCTGCCAGTGCAAGTGAGAGAAAAATGAATTGTCCAATGTTGATTGAAGTAAATAACATGGAAATGAATTTTTTACATACGTAGATTGTGAAACTGACGAGGACTAACTAGAAGATTTAAGTTCCTTGTTAAGGTTCCTAAGAAATCTATTAAAGGGTGATACATTTGGAGGGTGGAGAGCCAAGGAAGTGGGAAAGAGGTCCTGGCAAAGGAAAAATATGCCAACCCTACGTTCCCTGGAGTTTGGGGGCTGCAAATGTAAAACGGAAGCATAATCATTTGAGCCACTCTGCACAAAACTGAAAGAAAATCAGTTGAGTGGCTCCAGGGTGCAATTTATATCCTAATCCAAGCCCCCTGTCCAATACTGAGTATGTCCTATCCAGTTTTCAATTTTCCATTTCAGTATTCAGAAAAGTCTGCATGCTTACTCCTCGATTACTATTTTGTCCCACTCCTCTTCTTAGATCTTTCTCTCCCATTTTGCTACATTAGGATTTCTACTCTTGTACGAAGATAAGGGAATCATCTAGAATTCTAGATCTAGCAAAGTTGTCTTTCTCATCATCAAAACTTCTGTCTAAGCAAGTGTCCAGCTCTTGTGGATGTACAAATAATGTATTAAAATTTTGGATTCTTGTTTCTTGTTGTTTCCTAGATATGCAGGTAGAAAGTGAAACAGGTAGTGAGTAGAACTAGATGGGGATTTCCAAACTAAGTCCTATTGTGCATCCATCCTTCTTCCTTGAACCATCAACTCTTCTCTTACAAAATGATCCCAATTCCCCTAAAACGCTATAATACATATGCCATTTACAGAATTACCAATGAACAGAATTGGAAGGGACCCTCTCAACCAGGACATCCTATACCCGTGATGGCGAACCTATGGCATGAGTGCCAGAGAAAGCAGAGCCCTCTCTGTGGGCATGCCAACCATCGTCCCAGCTCAACTCTGCCACACATGCACCTCCTGCTGGCCAGCTGGTCTTCAGGTCTCTGCCGTATATGCAGGGGACGCTTTTGGGGGCGGGGCACATGTGCAGGAGACATGCGTGTATTGTATTTTGGGGATGCACATGCACGCTTCGGACACTCGGTGCCAAAAAGGTTAACCATCACTGCCCTATACCATTGCAGGCAAATGGCTCTCCAAGCTCTTCTTACAAACCTCCAGTGATCCAGCACCCACACTAGTAAATTATATTACATAAAAGGTGCATAATTTCTGCAAAACAAAATAAACCCTTGCCAACTTTTAAAAGGGTCACAAGAAACATAACATAGGATTGAGCCAAAGAAGTAGGTGAATATCTCTTCTAGAATTTTGTTCCCACATTGGCCATGGTAGATTGGGCAGGCAAGCAGGAAAAGAATGTAAGGCCATGTGTCTATGGAGATTCTTAGTCATCCAGGTCATCATTGTTACAAATGTGTTTTTTTTCCAAGAGGCAACTAGACTTTCTGGTTTTTCTTTGAAGATGTTTCACTTCTCATCCGATAAGCTTCTTCAGCTCTGACTGGATGGTAGGGAATGGAAGGATTTACACTCCTTGCAGACAGCTGGACATTTGCATTCTTTTTTTTTTAGAACAGTTTTTATTTGTTTATAATATAGCATATAAAAAAAATACAAAAGTAAATAGGAAAAATAGGGAAGGGAAAAGTGAGGGAAAGAAAAGTGGAAAAAGAAAAAAATGACTTCCAACTCCCTTTGGTGCAGTAGAATAATGCATTTTACTTTTTTATTTTTACGTAATAGTATAAACCAGCCACAGATCTATAACAACAAATCTAATCGATAAAACCCAAAATCAAAATCATTTCATTTTTTTCCACCTCAAGCACAAAGTCCAGAAGTGGTTTCCAAGTAGAAATAAAAGTATTTGTATTTTTTTCCCCCTTTGATCGAAACAGTCATTTGCATTCTTTTAGAGAGTTGTTGAGGCCACCTGGAGGTTACCTGTGTCTTCAGGGTTACCTGAGTACTAGTGCAAATGGGTGTGGAGCCTTCTTGGAACTGTTGAAAGGACTGAGTTGTAGACTGGAGATAGACGATGTTGTATCCCCACCTTATGTCCTTCCATTCCACACTATCCTGTTAGAGCTGAAGAAGCTTCTTGGATGAGAAGCAAATCGTCTTCAAAGAAAAAACAGAAAGTCCAGTTGATTCTT